CCCGAGGCAGCCCACCCTGCGGGGCCAGCAGCCCCTCCTCGCTAAAGCAGCTCAGACTCCGCGCGCTCCGGCATCGCCAAGAAGCAGCACAGCGCGGCTGCTCGAGGATTCACACCTCTGCTCCTGCTCAGCTGCTGCGCTTTCCCTGGCAAGGGATGAGAAAATGCAGCAGGAACATCAAACCCCTTAATGCGGTCTTACGGAGCATTTCATTTCAAAACTATTTGTGTGCATTGATCCCTGCATCGAGACACAAAAAAGCACAAAGAGCGATCTGGGTGTTCACAGCTCTTTTTAAACCCTGGTAGCTCCGCATGAAGAACCCGTGTGTCCCTGTCAGCACATACTGGGGACAACAGCACCCAGCAAATCCAGGCTGTCAAAAACCAGACCTGCCCTTACAAATACATTTGGGGTGTGAAAAGAGCTCAGGGAATCTTGTCCAGCATGTTACAGGCAGAATCCATTCTGCTGCCCCAGAGGGGGTGGATTTGAGCAGGATGCTCGGTGCCTCTCGGCCACGGCAGCCAGGAAAACCGGCCAAGGGCAGGACTGGGAGCAGGTCCTCAGCGCGTGGGCCATCCCCTGGGAACGCTGCTGCCTGGCACCCATGTCCACAGGCATGCACTGCACTTCCCCCCCGTCCCCGTGGGGAAGACGCCATCCGCAGCGGGGCTGGAGGACCTGCGGAGAGGGACAGGAGAGATGCTGGAGCGGAGCCATCACCCCCAGGCCCTGCCACCAAGCCCCCTCCACCCTCCCACCGGCCCAGCGAGGTAGCTTACTATCACTCAACCACTTACTTGATTTATTTTTCCAGTAAGACTGCTGCCTGGGGAGGAGGTAACGTAGCACATCTCCAGATCCACCCACTGTTTTGCCGGGAATTAGGCTAACTCTGCCCCAAAAGGCAGCTCTTCCACCCCCAGACAGTGCCCCGGTTCCCTACAGCCATACAGTGCTGCCTAAGTGGGACGCTTAATGAGACGTGAAAGGTTTAGGATACTTAAGATTTTCGTCGCTCCTCTGTTATTTCTTGTCACTCCCTTCATCTGTCCATGCATTCGTGCCCCGAAACGCCACGAGCTTTGTCGCGTTTCTGTTCGGCTGCTCGGC